TGCTGCCCCCTAGATCAACCTTGTATCAGCGGCTGTGCTGCCCCCTAGATCAACCTTGTATCAGCGGCTGTGCTGCCCCCTAGATCAACCTTGTATCAGACTATCAGCGGCTGTGCTGCCCCCTAGATCAACGTTGTATCAGACTATCAGCGGCTGTGCTGCCCCCTAGCTCGAGACCGTGTTAAATGCCAGCGGCAACTCTGCCCCTCGAAGCATATGTAGTTTGCTCTCATAACGGTTTGCACTACACACATAGCACACTTAAACATGAACTACTCCTACTATATCGACGCGTTGTGAAGGGCGGCGTGACGTGTGAATCTGTAGTTTCTATTATCTACGATGTTGCGAAGTAACACTCGTGAAATACGTGCGCTAGCAGATACTCGTGACGTACTAGAAATCAACAGTAGGGTAGACTCTGCTCGCTCTGTTCATCACCACACGTGCAAGCCATCCATTCCTTCCAGCTTTCCCGCTCACCGTCAGAAAATACACCGAATGCACTCGATGTGCAATGGACTTACCTATGTGATCTGGCAATATTCACCAGTCAATTATGTAACCATGTACTGTTCTACAAATGTAAAAATGAAGCTTGCCAATACGCTTTAACTCTTTCCACAGTCGCTGACATTCTGTAAACGGAAATCCGGCAATCCTCTTAGAGCGAGAGACACCTTTTATATGGTGAGAAAATGACTAGCTAGCGCAGTGAGGCGAATGTCAACGAGGGGAGGAGTATAGACAATTATGGCTCTGTCTAGATGCACTTAATTGCGGAAGGGATGGTTGAGGGACACTGTCTGCAAAAGATCCGGGGTTGGGGATGCTGACCGCAAAAGGCCAGGAGTTGATAGGCACTGGCTGCATGAGGTCAATACTTGCAATGGAAATTTGCCAGCGAATCGCAAACAACAAACACTACATGGCCGATTTAAGGTTCTTTCGTGGCAGCGCATGCTATACAATTTACGATCATTAGCAGTATAGCTTCGACCACGGAGTAAGTCCGCCAGCGTTGATTGATGGCAGTCGATTGAATTCACGACCGCGTGGGCGAAATCACGTGATTAATTCACTCTGTGTGGCATCAAGCTCGGAACGCGATGGATCAGAGACCATGATGCCCACGCGTTGCCTGGCATTATTGAAGGGGCTTCGCCATCACGCCTGCTGTCCGTGTGATGATTCTTCTAGAGCATTACAAATGCACCTAATGTAGGATTTTCTATGATGTGTTCGCTCTTTCATATTTGGATATAAGCTACGGAGAAACGGAACTTCCGTTGCGGACTGAAATGCATACGAATATGAGACATTATATAGGAGGACTCTTATGCCCTCTTGATACGAAGTCATACGTCAGTGTTATTTCATACAATTTCATACACGGAATTACGAAAAAAAATATATTTTCTTTAAAGAGCTCGGGGGAAATGGATCTGTGCCAGGTTGATCAGTATTTTTAACGAAACAGGATGAAGCCCAAAGAATTATACTAGACTCCAAAATGCGTAATAAATTGTTACGTAATGTTATGTTAATATATTTAAAAAATTGTATTTGAAGATGCAATGACGCCCAAAAGTCACGAAATGTTATGGGTTTTGCCTTTAAATAAATTATGGTTCCTTAGATCAATCAATTGTAGAGGAATTCGATTACACTAGGCACCCTTCCATATACAGCTGTTTGATTATCACAGCTCTTCTCGGTCCCCTCCCTCCGCCGGCAGCGCATTACTCGAGGTATTATTACAGCAGACACGAGAGACCACGGATCAATGCCAGCAAATGTTCAGACGTGCCTACATTTGACACGCCTATTCAGATAGTGACGCGCACGGCAGTCGCAACGTGCAAATATTTATACGTATCTGGCGATATTATCGAATCAACAGCACTGCCTCGGTTTATAATGCGAATTAGAATGTTTGCTCCCCCAACAGTTTGTGACCGGCGTTCCGTATTACGTAGGTCGAGTATCGAGAAGCGCCAAGACTACGATTTCACATAGATATGAAAACCTATGAGAAAAAGCCTAAAAAAGACGACGGTACGATAAATGATGTGCCACGAGTTTTACCAACCTTTTTATTTGGGTGATCAATATACGTGCGTAATTAATCTAAAAATGAATATCCATTCATATGGAAAGAACTAATATTAAATCTTGATCTAACTAGGAAAATTCATATAGTCAAAGTATTATGTTAACTCACTTTCGTTTGTCTAATCTCAGCTAATACCACCAGTTAAAACATATAGATATGAGCTACGACTTTATATTGAACCATATAAACGTGCTATTGAAAAATGTTGTTATCGACATTGTGGCAAAACACCGATATCTGACTGAAATTGTTCGAATATATCTGAAAATATCTGCTTGTGATAACGAAAAATGTTGATTAAAATGACACTCAATGGCGTCATAGTCTGTTACTGGGGCACACATATCGGTCTGCTTATGTTTCTTGCTCGAATTTCTATACTCAAGCGAACAAGTTGTATGAAAGGAAAAATCGCAGTCGAATTGATGGTAGCTCCCACTACCACTTTAGTAGGTAATAACATGTTACATGACATCGCGTGCAATGACGAATGCACACTCGCAAAACGGGTATCTATGTTGCCATCTTTCCTGTTCATAAATTACAAAGCCGTTCACTTAGTTTAAAAAAACACGGACAATACCGTTGGGCCTACTAGCACCATAGGATTTAAGTCAACGAGAAATACAGTTGAAGAACAAAATTAGCATGAGATCTATATTATATTTTTTTTATTATTATTAAACCTCTATTGCGTGTAAGTCAAATGCAAATACATGTAGGTGCCTACTGAAGACAGCCTTTTTCATGAAGAAAAAATCTGATAAATGCACTGGTGCTTAGCGGTTAAAATCATAAAATTTCCGAGTAACAAAAGAAAAGGTACAAAACAGAGTTATACAAGACAAAGCAAAAATATAATACAAAGACGGCAGTATCTTATATATTTGGTATGCATAAACAAGGATTCCCAATTTTTAATCAATTAAGTTGTCTACGAGAATGTAAAAAACAAGATTTTGCCCACAACTGAACCTTAGAATGCGGCCCAATACACTTGAACAAAATTGACATAACGATCTAAACAATGACGGGAATAAACGGCTAAGTGTAATACTTATAAATACTTACCTCGGTAGCCTTAAGAATATGCGTGTTTTCATCTAGCTCCAAACCTACAGGCGTAGGGGCGATCATTTTCGGTAACGGATTTTGTTCGAATGTAGTAATCAACTGCAACAGACATAATTAGGGTTAAGAATAGGGGAAATATAAGTTGAATCATTGCAGTGATCAGATGATAAACCAAACATCCGAGATTTACTAATGTAGTTACACTTTGTATAACAGTGCACAGGCGAAAAAATACGAGTTTATATGGGGCAAATTTTATACATCAAAGGTATGGAAGCTGATACGCATGCTCGAAGATCATGTGTTATTCCATTCCCCGATAAGGCAGCTTGCTCTGCTGCTTAAAGCATGATTTACCTATCTCAGAATTTTATTGCGCTAGAACAATGGGAGGCTCTCCGTATTACTGAGCGCTCACTTACTGGCCTGTCCTGTGAGGCTGCTCGTACATCGGTTTTACGCTGATAAGCACGTATCTCTATTTCGGCAGCAGGAGACTTCAGCGTCTAGTTCAGTTGATTGTGTGCAGCGCGCATCGTATTCCTAACGTTTGCTATTGTCGCGTTGTATGTTTTCCGCGAGATTTGTTGGTTTTGGGAATAATTTCGTTCCCGAATATACGCGCCGTCTCAGACTGATACCGCAGGTCGTTGCCGTAGATTTTGCTGTTCGGAGTTCGCTCAGATAACGTTGCCGACATCCCCACATCGACCGCCGGCCGACTTAACGATACGGACTATGAGCCCGACCTCTGTATTCGTACATCACCGTCTTCGTGAAACTTCAATCTCGACATAAGCAAAGACACAACGCATCCATGGTCAGAGCTACACAGTCACAGTACATAAAAGGCTTTTCGGCATTCTCACGTGTGCAGATCGTGGGCATAGATGCGTGGTATAGTGGGCGTGAGCTGAATCACTTGAGGCAAGCGTACGCAATACATTCGGAAGTCACAGGGTGAATTTTTTTAATGCACAGGTGGCAGTGAGGAAGACGTGCGTCGTTGAGCAAGAATCGCATAGGATCGTATAGTATGTATATCGATGGGGAAGAGCTAGAGTGCGATTACCCGTGTCTTCGAGTGTGAACTGTACAGCGACTACAGACTTGCGCCACCGGAAGAGACTGCAGCGTCGCTAAACGCTGACTTCTATAAGCGGAGATTACCTGACTGAAACGTAGTTGACACACACATCGATGACGGTTTTCGTTGCTACATAATGTATTCTTATATTATATGTGTTAATATGGTGTCGGATACGAAATTTACTGCTGTACTCGTTCGTGATAACTCGCGTGTGCTGTTGGTTCAGATTTACGAACAAAGCTAACAACCGTGACACAGGGAGGTCATCACAGGTCTATTTCGCGGACACAAATGGCGACGAGAAATGCTGATATTGCGGCAGAATAAACTCTGTACGTTATTTATATATAATTATATGAAGCCATCCATAAATGAAATTCAGGTCGATGATTCGAATTTTATGGAAAAACTGACGGAGCCTAATTGCTGTCTTCTCTCCTATTAACAATATTCCCGGTTTTTTAATTGCACATAAACCTCCACATGTTGGTAGATCCGTCTGTGCGGTAGGACTAACAAATATTGTAATAATAGCTTGCATATTGCGATATTAGCTTCAAACGAACCCTGATATTTGGTTAGCGGTGAGACAATTGCACGGGCGCGCACAACGTGGCTATTTTTGTTGCACGCAGTATTACGATTGAGTGTTAAATGCACCGCACTATATAACTGTCACGGCAGTGACTCGATCGGGGGTGGCTTTTTATCACTGCAACACTTTCGCGCGAAGTTACTCATCAAGTTACTCATCTACGGTATATGGTGACCACTAAATTATAGCCGGCGCAATATTTTTCCAATAATCTTTGGATACTCACCGAACTCCCTGAGCACGTATAGATTGAATTCGATTTGTTGATTTTAAATCTTCTAAAGTACACAAGTACTGGGCACCTAACAATTCACAGTCACGTTTAGCCGAATGAGGTCATTCACTAATGCTGTACGTAAAGCCAAACGAATCGATGGCTGATTTTTTACAATAGCCGTTTGCAGACAGGTGTGACTATAGTATAAAGCCCTCTCGTCACGCTTATATAGGGTCTATATAGCGTATATAGGGTTATATAGGGTTATATAAGGTATGTCCCCCAGGGTACTGCCGGAACGTACCCTGGGTACGGTCCGGTATACCGGAACGTACCCTGGTAACTATCTGATATGGTTAGGGTTAGGGTTAGGGTTAAGGTTAGGGTTAGGGTTAGGGAGTAGGAGTAGGCGACTCCCTAGACTCGTTAGTGGAGTAGGCGATGTACGGTCCGGCATATTAGATAGTACCGGGGTACGTTCCGGTATACCGGACCGTACCCAGGGTACGTTCCGCCAGTACCCTGGGGGACATAGACCCTCTCAGCTGCTGTCACAGTGTCGGTACAATCTTAATTATAATAACATTAATGTAATATATGTTTCCTAGCGAATTTGAATTGTTAATGTTTTGTGATAATTAATGCAGATGACCTGCTGGTGAGCTGCTGCTGTTGTTGTTGTTTGAGGAATTATGTGTTCAATATCGGATCAGTTCAATATCGTTTTTGCACAAGTGTGCATAAACATATATTAACTTTACTACGAGGCACGGATTTGGAATTTTTTCCAGAATCTTCTCCCAGTAAAAGGGTAGGGATAAATTCATTGTGGACCAATAGAGATATATTTGTGGATCACACGAATGATAAAAAGGAAACAGCACAAAATAAGAGAGAAGTCGATCCGGATGTCTCACGTTTTGAATTTCTCCTCAAAGCCTGTATGACGTCAACAACTTGCGCAGCGACATCAAGACATCTCTACTGAGCGAATTGGCGCTAATAATACCACATTCCGTATTCCGGTTCCGGTTCTCTATTCTGACACACAGACACGTACACACTCACTCACTCACTCTGTCACTCACTCAACTCACTCACACACGCACGCACGCACGCACACACGCACGCACGCACACACGCGCGCGCACACACACACACACACGCACGCACGCGTGCGCGCGCAAGCACAAGCACGTACGCACACACAAGCAAGGAATACGCAATAACCCACCAACTTCGCCCAGCGTTTTGTTAAATATGTATAATCGAATATGCTATAATATTCTAATGTCAAGAACAGCGCGCGCGAAAACGTCAGAGCTACGGATTTAATTCCTGGCTCGCGGATATAAATACAGACTAAATTATACAGTTAAGGCATTTTAACACCTTTACACATCTGTCAGCAACTTTTGATCTGCAACGACGGAAAATCTCATTATATCCACGACATCCCCCGCCGCAAACGTTCCGGCCCGTTTGCTACAGTGTTTTCATATTTTCTGTCTGCGTACACAGGACGTCAATACACTTGAGGCAACCTCACGCCAATGTGAATCAATTACAGCCAATATAATGCATTCACATCAGAAACTCCTCAATAAATGCGATGCCACAAATTTAGCTAGATACCGTAGGACCCATTGCGCATCGTTACCGAGTCTGTATAATTCGGAGAGGAATTGCAAGCATTTCGGAAAATGTTTGAACTCTTGCTTTCAACACAGTGAGTTATTACGAGTGACTTCGTGCAACGTTCCAACTTCTTTTGACATTCAACTGCCACATTGCACCCCAGTTAGAGCACCGTATAAGTCTGCTTGCGCGGAAATGGACATTAGGCAATGCAAATGACAACACCATTACACGGCTCTTCGTTTTCTGAAATAAAATAAATACCAAAGTACATCTCCCCTAAGTAACGCATCGTAGTTCTGGCGCAATTTGATGGTAGCTCCCACATCCACAATTTACTTGCACATTTAATCCATCTGACGTGAGTGATTTAAACGAAGGCGGAAGTAAGTAATGGAGGAAGTAATATGCAAATATTAGAAATGCGTAATAGTATACGCTACTAGCCAGCCAATCTAGTAGGTAAAGGCATATTATATATCAAGACCCTTCATTTTCCGAAATAAAACAAAATACCAAAGCACATCTCCCCTAGGTAATGCAACGTAATCCTGACGCAATTTGCAGCAAGGCGAAGAAACGCTCTAAGTGACCTGGTGAAGAACGACGCGCTAATTTGAGAGCCTTTTATAAATGGAGAGAAAATCAAATCTCCGCTACTCATCTGTCGGCACAAGCTGGGTACGCCGTCAGAGAACTTAGCACGCAGGACTCTTTTTATCCTTCGTACGTCGTTTATAAATGCGCTGAGTGCACATTTGTATACGGCCGTGATTTATGTGACACGTATGTATCGCAAGCTTCGCTAACCAACAGTAATCCATTGTGATGATAATATAAAATTAATCATGGGATACAGCCTCACAACCGACTACAGTCACTATGAATGCACGCCACTATGTCCATAGCTGACCACCATTTATGACGCATCAGAAATTAGCAGGAGACCAAAAATCAATATATTCTAGTACTGAACTGCTTCTCCGTCCATTTGATGGTCATAATACCAGATAAAACACAATATTTTTTTTTTATGTGCACGCACACATAGGCAATGCTAAAATTGTGTAGAAAAAAAGCGTTATATAGAACTACTTAATTACATATATGATTACATAAATGATAGCAATGTACGCATAATTACTAAAATAATTGTAAGAATATTCCCGATATGGACCACCCTTGGTGTTTGATTAGGCTGTCTATATACCATATGCCTTTCGAACAGGCTACTATATGCCATATGCTACTATAGTACGCAATATGTAGTCGAGTGTGACTTCAAAAAAAAAAGAAGTTAAAGCGTTACACTTCTAAATGAGTTGCCATTAGAGCAAGCCCTGCCGAGCAACAAATATCGATTGATAAAATTGCCAGACGGATGGCGGGTACGCCAAATGACGCACCGTCATCACGTGCTAATACGGGAACTTAATTGCACTGTTCAGAGGCCACCCGGCGAACTGCGGGTAAACTCATGGAAATATATGCGCGTGGTCATGTAATATTAACACCCTATGCTGAGGCGCTTGCATAATAAATGATATGCGTGCTGCGACCGCACCTACGCTACATGACACGGTGTCGACTGTCACAGAGTAGCACATGTGTACACGTGCTCGCTCTCTTGTACGATTTCTTTCTTTTTATTTCTCGTTCTCTCTCTCTCACTCTCTTTCTATCTTTCCTCTCTGTCTCTTTCTCTCTGTCTCTCTCTCTCTCTCTCTCTCTCTCTCTTTCTCTCTCGCGTCTCTCGTCTCTTCTCTCTGGTCCGTGACTTTCTTCTCCTCTTGGCTTCTCTCTCTCTGCTCTCTTCTCTCTTCTTCTCTCTCTCTGCTCGGTTTCCTCGTCTCTTCTCCTCTGCTCTCTTCTCTCCACCACGTTCTCATCTCCTCTCTCTCTCTCTCTCTCTCTCGTTAGCTCTCCTCTCTCCCTCCCTCTCTCTCCCATTCAATCACTCTTTCGTGGCTTCTGTCACGACCGCTCTTGATCTCGCTGCCGTCAGCACGGTGACCCACTACGACACCAACACGCGTGATGGCTGAAAATCGACATGTTGCTCGAGTCCTGTGACTAGCAAACGGAGCAACTCAACGTTGAATACCCCGCTTTTAATGTTGAATGAGGTTAGCGCGTGTGTGCCACGTTGTCACACGACCGGCTTTTTTTCACACAACGCGAAGCATTGTCGTTTGTATAGTAAGTATTGTCGATATGCCTACTACAAGATTTATTAGAGATAAGTAATTTGGGACGCACAGCAAAGCAATCGTTGGTTTCAGAGAGAGAGAGAAAGATAAAGAGAGAGAGATAGAGAGAGAGAGAGAGAGAGAGAAAGAGAGAAAGAAGAGAGAGAGAGAGAGAGAGACGCTGTATTACCTCTAAGCGGTGCTTGGAGCGCTTGCGTATACACTCAATTCTACAGGTCCACATCCGAGTATGCGATGCAACATAATCCCTTCTCGTATAATTAATGTTAACTATAGATTATAGTAATTACAGCTCCGTCAAAGTACTAAAATTTGCAGCCAGCTTCTTTAGCGAAAGATAGAAACGTTTACCAATGTATACTTACAACGTACAACTGAGATAAAACAACACGAGAATGTCTTCAAGAAAAGCTCATCCTTTAAATGTCCGTTCACAATTATCAACATTATAACAAGGCTAGAGACCGTACAATTTCGCCTACAAAGGTACATAAAGATTTTGCAGAAACTAAGAATTGACATTTTCATTTATAAAATCATGCAAGTCGTTGACCACCTACACAAGGATATGGTTTGCATGCTTCAGAAAATGTTGATAATTGATAGTTGATAGCTGCCGCAGCGATCCGCGGGCTATAGTACTAGAGCTACCTCTAAGATAACATATGGAACTGCATCGATGCATATCCGACCCTGAACCTGCCTGCACTCTCACAAAACACAATCAATGAACCATGGCATTGAGATCACGCAAGGCATTGCTTTTCAAAGCGCTATAGAAGATAACACGATACCAGGATACCATCGGTGAAACATATGAGCGTTAGTGCTGCTCATTACCTGTCAATTTCCTGCTCCGCTGATGATTTGATGGTTTCACTCCCACCAGGTGCACGAATCCGCCGATTACTATCTACGTTTATTTAGTACTAACCACAATTCATTTCGCTCTCGCTGACATTCAGCCTACAGGCGCCACTACACACTAAACGGGACTACAACGTAACGGCGTCTCTATCTGCGTCTAATTGGTCTTCACTACAACGCGCTCTGTGCGTTGCTCACTGACCGTTAGCATGCTAGGATCTGCCGGGATTCTGCGAGCGCGTTTGGTTGCTCAATGAGCCCACTAGAGGGCAGCAGGATGAAGCGATATTCAAGTCTAGGAAAAATACGCGGTGTTTGCAATGTCCCGCTGACTGCTACCCATGTGAATATTGCTCAGTCTCAGCTATTGCCATAATCCCGTGATTGAAGTTCAGATCCGTGTAAAATACAGGCGCTTTGTAGGTAACTTACTGGTCAGATGACATGATGAGGCACGGCGACATGCATTAGCAGAGCGGCGAGATGATAGGAATTCGGAAATCCTAATTTCCACTAAAATATGTAGTAGGCCTAGAGCTATAAATGTGATCAAAGTTACGAGATTTCATTCTTTGTTACAGTCCCTCGGACTATGAAGAATATCTTGATAACGTCATGACACCAGCGGATTTAGGGGAGGGGCGACCCGGCTCCGCCCCACTATTGAGCAAAAAAATGAGAGAGAAGAAGGACGAAGAGACAGAGAAAGAGCGAATAAGAGAGGGAGAGAGACTAAGAGAGAGAAAAAAGAAAGATAGAAAATGGGAGAGGGAGACAGAGGAAAAGAGAGATAGAAAGAGGGGGGAGAGCGAGAAAGAAAGAGAGAAAGAAAGAAAGATAGAAAATGGGAGAGGGAGACAGAGGAAAAGAGAGATAGAAAGAGGGGGGAGAGCGAGAAAGAAAGAGAGAAAGAAAGAAAGATAGAAAATGGGAGAGGGAGACAGAGGAAAAGAGAGATAGAAAGAGGGGGGAGAGCGAGAAAGAAAGAGAGAAAGAAAGAAAG